CTGCCCCCCACCCCTCCACCGTCCCAACCCCCTGTATATAAACTTATCATTAATGATTATGTACTAACCATATGGACTTTGCCACTGATTTTTATATTGCTAATTATTTTAAAACTTCGGCAAGGACGGCCACTTTTAATTTCTACCTACGAAGTACCACCACCAACTGATTCTACTGAACTAGAAATGAACAATATCTTTGGTAGTACAGCTAGAAATACAATATTTTACGTTGAACACATTAACACATTTACTTTAACAATCTCTATATTATAGAAGTATATAAGTCTTACATCAGGATAGGAAATTCTTTTATGTGAAAATATTTTGTCTGGCAGCCTCCACTTAATCACCTGGTAGCTGCCACTTAATCACCTGGTAGCTGCCACTTAATCACCTGGTAGCTGCCACTTAATTATTCGGCCGCTGCCACTAAATGCCTGGTGTTTGCCACATAATCATCCTGCGATATTCTAATATCTCTGGCTTTGATAGTCCCAGCTTATGGAATAAAGACATTGCTTCATCCATTGTTTCTTCATGTGGTGGTGCAATCAGCAGAATACTGTAGTAGATAAAACAGTTTAAGATAATAAAGTTGTGGCATCTGGTGGCTACCAGATATTTAAAAGTGTAGCCACCAGGTATGGCAACCACTAGATATTCATGTAGCAGCCATCATATTTTCACGTTACTTGGTGGCCAGGTCATTACGTGGCAACCACTAGATAAAATATTTTCAAATTTAAGATAGCATATGTCTATGTGAGCCTTATACACTTACATAATATATTGAATATTCATTTGATAACTGGTATATATTAAGACATCCACTACAGGTATTAACATAAAGAGTTCATAAATTTCAATATGTGATCATTACACATAAACCATAATGTCCACAACTTCAAATGATTTTATCAAACATAAAGTGTACCCAGTTACTGTTACTATCTAGGAGACACTAGAATTTGAAAGAAAAACATGAGATCCCAGAGGGATCTTGGTGCCCACCATTGTTTGATCTTTTATAAACTCTTTGAAAGTTGGATCTTTTCCCTCCTTTTCTCTCCTCTTCTCTGTTTTTGCTCTTAATGATAAGACATTTGAACATTCCTATGCAGAAATAAAGATGATAATCTTTACCTGCCAAATCCAAACTGGCAGCCTGGAAGCCATTTTATTTTTTCTGATCAGTCCCAAAATCAAACCAGCACAATGAGAGACCAAAGGGAACATACATATGAAATTTGAAAGATATCCATCCAGTACTTTTAGGTAAAAGCAATAACAATCTTTACTAACCTAAATCCAAGATGGCTGCATGCTAGCCATTTTGTTTCTCTGATCAGTCCCAAAATTACATGGGCACAACTAGAGACCAAGGGGAACCTACATAAACCTACCTAAATTTGAGAGAGATCCATACAGTACTTCTCAAGAAATAGCGAAAACGAAAAATTGCTTATAGGCAGACGGAAAGAGGACCTTGGACGCAGAGCAATTTGAATTGACCACCATCTGATGATGGTGTGCCAATAAAAGAGAACATTTTATGAGCACTTAAAAATCAATCATTTATATACATGTTCACTTGCATGACTCTTGATCATTTCTGGAAATTGTGTAAACATACAAGATTTACAGGAAAACATGTAAGCAGCACCACAACAACACCGATACAATACTGTTTCACATTATTTGCGTAACTATAAATGATATTGATAATATACTCAACATAGAAAGATGTGTCGCCTTTCATTTCCGAAAATGAGATTATTTAACGAAATATGAAATAACATTTTCTTGAGTAATACCCCTACACGAGCAAGCTCAAACCAGTTCTATAATGGCGTATTTATAATTTATCAAAAAGAGATTGTAACAAGAAATCCACTGACATCTACATATATACGGACAGCACACATCTGGATTTATAGGCTGGAAATGGACTTGTCACAAATTCCAAAGAACAATGTTGAAGCTGAAATAGCAAACTAGTTTAAAAGTCTACTCACAACAACATCATCAACTCCTCACCAAATTGCTTCTTGTCATGTGAGTAGAGAGCCCAAATACTTATATAAACAAGATCTAAGCAGGAGATACTAAGTACATCAGAATTATAGCAGACTGATATCACATGAAACATGTTGATAGTCAATAAATATATTACCTAGAGAGCAGCAAACACAAATAATTATCAGGATGGAATGTGATTTTATAATTATACCCTTTCAGATGATATTAGATATGGTAGCAATATAAATGTAAAAAAACTCCACACAAAGTTTTTATGGACATGTGACAAAACAAAAACATATTAAAAAATGTATCAAACACAGCCATCTTTATATCATTGTTATTAGCCTTAAAATATATAGAGTGCTGGAGCCTGTTAGTGAAAGGAAACAGGCTGTAAAAGGCTGAAAAATGTATTAAACAGCCATTCTTATATTGTTATAAGTCTTAGATAATATATATTGCTGGAGTTTGTTAGTGAAAGGAAACAGGCTGTAAAAGGCTGAAATTTAATTTTAATTAAAGAAACCTTTATATTATACTTCATAAGGGCTAGATTTTATACTCTTTCAACTTTCTTGAGAAGCTAAATACCTAAAGCCTTTGATAGCCACTATCCATCTCGGCCACTCTTGTGGTTGGCATGAGGATCCACCACAGCAGCTTAATAATATTACACCTGTTGTTAAAATTTCCTTGACTTTGTATTATAAACTTTGAATGAGATATAACAACAGAACATATTACACATAAGTTGTGTAAACATTGTATTACTGCAACTTCACAATTTGATAATTAATATTTACATTAAATACTTGACCAATTTCTTCAATAAAAGACAGGTAAAAAAAAAGTTATATTTGAACCCCCTGATTATTGGACACTATCGGTACGTCAACTATACATGTAGGTGGGGTATGTATGGATGATCCACACACATGTAGAGTTTGGGTCAGAACCAAGGTTTGGCTTTTAAGTCTTGTATTTTATTTTTTTCATTGAAGAAATGATTCACAAAATAAAGTGAAAAAATCACAACTCAATCAACATCTTGAAGAAATATTTACATAAATGAAACAGTAGCATTCATTTTGATAAAAATTACAGATAAACATTTTTTATAACAACAAGAGGCCCATGGGCCTTAACGGTCATCTGACAAAAAGCAAGCCAAACCTAGAAAGTGGGTTGAGGTCATTCATTTGAACAAACTTGGTAGCCTCTCCTCCAAGCATCTTAAAGGCCCAATATCAGCACTCATGGACTTTTGCTTGTTGAGAAGAAGTTATTTAAAGATTTTGACATATTTGACCCCTGCGACCTTGAAAGTTGTTCAAGGTCATTCATTTAAATAAACTTGGTAGCCTTTCCTCCCAGCATGCTACAGACCCAATATCGGCACTCATAGACTTTTGCTTATTGAGATGAAGTCCTTTGTATATTTTAACATATTTGACCCCTGTGACCTTGAAAGTGGGCCAAGGTCATTCATTTGAACAAACTTTGTAGGGCTCCATGCCAGCATGCTATGGGCCAAGTATTAGCCCCCTAGGCCTTCTAGTATTTGAGAAGAAGTTATTTAAAGATTTTGACATATTTGACCCCTGTGACCTTGAAAGTTGTTCAAGGTCATTCATTTAAACAAACTTGATAGCCCTTCATCCCAGCATGCCACAGGCACAATATCAGCAATCTGAGCCTTTTGGTTATTGAGAAGAAGTTGTTTAAAGATTTTAACATATTTGACCCCTGTGACCTTTAAAGTGGGTCAAGGTCATTCATTTGAACAAACTTGGTAGTCCTTCATCCCAGCATGCTACAGGCCTTATTTTAGTTGCCTGGGCCTTTTGATTACTGAGAAGAAGTCCTTTGAAGATTTAAAGACATTTGACCCCTGTGACCTTGAATGAAGGTCAAGATCATTCATTTGAACAAACTTGGTCGGGTTTCATCAAAGCAAGCTACAGGCTAAATATTAGTTGCCTGGGCCCTCCAGTTATTGAGAAGAAGTCGTTTGAAGATTTTAAGACATTTGACCCCTGTGACCTTGAATGAAGGTCAAGGTCATTCTTTTTAACAAACTTGGTAGAGCTTCATCAAAGCAAGCTACAGGCCAAATAATAGTTGCCTGGGCCTTCCAATTATTGAGAAGAAGTCGTTTGAATGAAAAGTTTACGGACGGCGCACGGCGGACGGCGCACGGCACACGACGACGGACGAAGCATGATGACTATAGGTCATCGGACCCTTCGGGTCAGATGACCTAAAAACTGAAACGAGAGTAAAATCTTCTGTACTTTTACATAAAATAATAATCACCTAATGGCCATATACACCTCCTTATTATATCTTACTTTACTCTGAAATTGTGATGGACGGGTAGATGCAGTGTTCATAATTAAGATCTTTTTCTCCCAATATATATCCCCCCTCCTAGAGTACCAGAAAAAATATTACAATATCAAGATATTAACCTTAAACAAAATACAGTTTCTTCTAATATACTTTCTTAATGATATGTTGTTAGATAAAAAAACAGATTACTGAATGTATATACAGGTACTTAAACAGGATATAGGTGTAATTTGGTATGCAGGCCTGTTATTCTTAACATACTCAGATAACATATCATTAAATTGTCAAGTTTGGATACTAAAAATATACATAAATGTTATATTGTAACATACAGGAGTTATTCTGTTGTAAGATAACATATAACAATAGATTAATGTTACAGAATTACTGTAATCTGGAATTTCAAAACTAACTATTGTTTCCATAAAAGTTTTGTATCACTATTATGCAAATGATCCATGACTGAAATTGACCAAAATTATCAAGACATTCTTCTGAAATTAAGCAACATTTTCAGAAAAGTTTCCTTGACAACATTTTGCCATTCTTCTGTGTTGTTTTGTGATACACACAAGGTGTGCCACAACACCACCAATAAACCTACTTGATAACAGTAAGTCAACTAGTTGTTTGTGAAACCACAACAGACTAGAACAAAGAGTGCCACAATGATAGCACACTCAGGTGTCTGGAGCTTGATTCCCAGGTTGGATGTAAAAAAATATGGGTCATCTACCCAACCATGTGGGTTTTCCCCAGGTACTCTGGATTCCACCCAAAGTTAAACCCCTCAAGCCCTTCTTTAAAGAGTGGTTGACATCTTGTTCAGTACTGATGTAAAATAATATAAGTCTATGATTCTGTAGATTAATGATTAAACATGTTGTTGAAACAATACTTAACTGCAGTATTTAGACTCAACATGCTCAACTATACAGCAAACATTCATCACATTGTTACTGAAACATCTCAGCTGTAAGACTATAATTCAACATGATGTTGAAATGTTACCAGGCTTGACTGCAGAGTGACAAATAAAACAGGTTGTTTTTGAAACATTCTAAGCTTTAGGACTATTTTGTTGGAGAAATGTTACTTGACGATTGATTGATGAATCAACAGCACCATGATCCAGCTAACATCAACAGGAATGTATTGTGACGACTAAAGGCACATCATCATTATGCTTCACAACACTTGTTTATTCCTTTCTTTTTCTTCCTTTCATACAAATTGTCTCTCTCCACTCCTACAATCAAACATAAAATGATGAAGTTTACAGAAATGTTCACACTCCAATCTAAGGCTTTGGTATGATATTACCCTGGTTTTGTTGAAAGTTTTTTTTTTATCTAGTGATTACTGATATTTCTAATATTTCAAAATTATGCGATTATCAGTTTTAAGTATAGATGTAAAACTGAGCTATTAAACTGAACATTTTACTTCATCTTGATATGATAGGAACATTCCACAGATATTTACTTTACATGATAGATGTCAGATTAAGATATACATTAAATGTATTTCAGGTAATAAAAACAACAATTTAAAGATATATACATAATTAAAGTGAAATTTGATTTTTAAAATCTTAAAGTGTGCCATTCGGAGCAAAATATGATCTTTTTATGGGGATAATTCAAATCAGAAGACAAAAAAAGGATATCCCAAAAAGTCAAAACAATTCCATAAAAACTACACTGTTTTCTGTTAGGATGAGAAGTTCATGAACTGACCGTCTCCTGACCTCAGAGAATATTTAATAGACAGATAATTTTTATAGCCAGATTTGTTATCAACAGTTAAGCTTGTTCCTAAATGACACCAATTATCATCATACACTTACTGATAAAGTCATTGCCAATCTGTTTGGCTGGCTGGGAATGGTCTGTGTCCACTTCTCGCAAGACAGCAGCTTCAAATGTCAGAGATACTGCTCGGAAGAAGAAATCCTTCACATTCTCACCTTCAAAGGTTTACAGAAAAGATGACTAATAGTATCTGGAATAACTGCTGTTTAGGAATGTTTATTATAAACACATTGAAGTTCTCATTTAGATTCACCTTGTTTATTTCTTGTTTATAACAAAACAAATGAAGGGAAATTTGCCAGTTAAGCACTCATCTTCGATACTTAAAAGAACTCGTGATCTTAATCCAGTCTTAAACATATTTTTAAGTATCTAGATTGCATTTCCTGTTTGGTGATAATGTATAAAATTTGTAATGGTATTTACACCTGTTTAGACAACACTGCCCAATACTCTGTCCTGATACTGTTACTAGCTGTCATGGTATATCTACCTGTTTTAGACGACACTGCCCAATACTCTGTCCTGATACTGTTACTAACTGTCATGGTATATCTACCTGTTTTAGACGACACTGCCCAATACTCTGTCCTGATACTGTTACTAACTGTCATGGTATATCTACCTGTTTTAGACGACACTGCCCAATACTCTGTCCTGATACTGTTACTAACTGTCATGGTATATCTACCTGTTTTAGACGACACTGCCCAATACTCTGTCCTGATACTGTTACTAACTGTCATGGTATATCTACCTGTTTTAGACGACACTGCCCAATACTCTGTCCTGATACTGTTACTAACTGTCATGGTATATCTACCTGTTTTAGACGACACTGCCCAATACTCTGTCCTGATACTGTTACTAACTGTCATGGTATATCTACCTGTTTTAGACGACACTGCCCAATACTCTGTCCTGATACTGTTACTAACTGTCATGGTATATCTACCTGTTTTAGACGACACTGCCCAATACTCTGTCCTGATACTGTTACTAACTGTCATGGTATATCTACCTGTTTTAGACGACACTGCCCAATACTCTGTCCTGATACTGTTACTAACTGTCATGGTATATCTACCTGTTTTATACTGTTACTAACTGTCATGGTATATCTACCTGTTTTACACTGCCCAATACTCTGTCCTGATACTGTTACTAACTGTCATGGTATATCTACCTGTTTTAGACGACACTGCCCAATACTCTGTCCTGATACTGTTACTAACTGTCATGGTATATCTACCTGTTTTAGACGACACTGCCCAATACTCTGTCCTGATACTGTTACTAACTGTCATGGTATATCTACCTGTTTTAGACGACACTGCCCAATACTCTGTCCTGATACTGTTACTAACTGTCATGGTATATCTACCTGTTTTAGACGACACTGCCCAATACTCTGTCCTGATACTGTTACTAACTGTCATGGTATATCTACCTGTTTTAGACGACACTGCCCAATACTCTGTCCTGATACTGTTACTAACTGTCATGGTATATCTACCTGTTTTAGACGACACTGCCCAATACTCTGTCCTGATACTGTTACTAACTGTCATGGTATATCTACCTGTTTTAGACGACACTGCCCAATACTCTGTCCTGATACTGTTACTAACTGTCATGGTATATCTACCTGTTTTAGACGACACTGCCCAATACTCTGTCCTGATACTGTTACTAACTGTCATGGTATATCTACCTGTTTTAGACGACACTGCCCAATACTCTGTCCTGATACTGTTACTAACTGTCATGGTATATCTACCTGTTTTAGACGACACTGCCCAATACTCTGTCCTGATACTGTTACTAATTGTCATGGTATATCTACCTGTTTTAGACGACACTGCCCAATACTCGGCCCCGATACTGTTAGCAATGTCTGATGCTCTTCTCTCCACAGCTTCATATCCAGCATCAGACTATTGTACAAATTACATTGTAATGTTTTGTAAAACATATAAATGGGAATACATTGTTATACCAATACTGTAATAGAATGTTACAGAAATAACATTATACATTGTTATTAAATTACCCTGATACAATGTTAACTGTTTATTGTCAACGTAATATATTCTATACCAAGTTAAAAATTAAAAAAAAAAACATGAGAAAACAAATACTATTTAAAACTTTTCTGTTGTAAGCACCAGACGTTGTAATATAATTTTATACAGTGTACATGAATGACTTTTTACAAACCAATTTCAATGTACATTACTTTAACAACAATACAACATACATTTCCACACCTGTTAGTCTTATCAATTGATTTTAATCCATCACATTGTATTCTGGAGATTTGTACATTTTACTCCAGTATAACACAAAAGATAATCGTCACATCAATCTGATAGAAAACCTACCATGCTATCTTTCTTGCTGCCCACCAGAAGTTTGATGGGATCACTAGCACTTTCTGAAGCATCACGCATCCACTTAGCAGCATTGGACAGTGACATTTCATCTGTCAGGTCAAACACTACCACCACCACTGTAACACAGGTAATCATCAAAATTTCTGTTTGTGAACAGGTGATCAAAATGTTCTCAGTCTACAAACAGGTGATCAAAATGTTCTCAGTCTACAAACAGGTGATCAAAATGTTCTCAGTCTACAAACAGGTGATCAAAATGTTTTCAGTCTACAAACAGGTGATCAAAATGTTCTCAGTCTACAAACAGGTGATCAAAATGTTTTCAGTCTACAAACAGGTGATCAAAATGTTCTCAGTCTACAAACAGGTGATTAAAATGTTTTCAGTCTACAAACAGGTGATCAAAATGTTCTCAGTCTACAAACAGGTGATCAAAATGTTTTCAGTCTACAAACAGGTGATCAAAATGTTCTCAGTCTACAAACAGGTGATCAAAATGTTTTCACAAACAGGTGATCAAAATGTTTTCAGTCTACAAACAGGTGATCAAAATGTTTTCAGTCTACAAACAGGTGATCAAAATGTTTTCAGTCTACAAACAGGTGATCAAAATGTTTTCAGTCTACAAACAGGTGATCAAAATGTTTTCAGTCTACAAACAGGTGATCAAAATGTTTTCAGTCTACAAACAGGTGATCAAAATGTTTTCAGTCTACAAACAGGTGATCAAAATGTTTTCAGTCTATAAACTAGTGATCATTCAGTTAAAATTCCATAGTGTTGGGCATGTGTGTCAGATGTGTTTTACATGTATCTATAAACCTGTTGTAGCTGTGAAACTTTATCAACTATATGTTGACGTAGTGCTGGGTAGAGTTGTATGTACTTTGGTAAACAGTGGCTGGTCATGATTAACAGGAAATATACAGAAAATGGTGAGGAAAAATAAGTACAGTATATACACATGTACACAGACTGTCACAGAGAGAGTCTAGGGGTTACTGAGACATCAGAGATTCTGTGGTGTAGTCGGTGTGAAAGTGGATCATTGACACAGAAGGTATGTTTTTCTTGTAATGATAACAGATATTTTAGATAGAATACATATATATGTACCATTAGCCCCTCTGTAGTAGGAGGCTGCTATACACTTGAATCTTTCCTGGCCAGCTGTGTCCCATCTGTAACAAAAGACAAGTAGTTAATGTATAACTGAGCACCAGTGTAAGGAAATAACACTTTATAAACAACAGATTCTGTGGTATTTATTATTTCATATTATTACTCATATTTTTAATGGATTAATCTAAGAGACAGAATCCCTGAAATCTCTTCATTTCTCCCATATTTTTATATCTGGGAACAGAACTAAATTTCACACCAAAATCGTTCTTAAAATGTTCTGCTATTTCAAAATTTGAGAAGGTAAAAAACTGAGAAACAGCTTTAGCTCAATCATAAAAACAACCTGATGTAGAAAAAAAATAAATGGTTCACATCATAAAATTAGCTTGTTAGAAGAAAACTGCTTAACATAATAAAAATAACCTAACATCATTTAAAAAAAAGATTGATAATAAAAAAGGCATAACATAATTAAAATAGCCTGACATCGTAAGAATGATAATGAATGCAAGTGAGGTCACATATTAATCTGATATGTAATGTATCTTGTCCAATCAAAATGAAAGTTAACAATCCTTAAGGACTACTGAATACTTCTGTCATCTCTAAGTCTGATCACAAGTTGCATACTCTTTATAACAGTTTCAGAAAATAAATATCCAGGACATGAATTTCATTGTGATCCTTTAACTTACATCTGTAGTGTGAAGGGTATGGAGAGGATACTAAACTTCTCCACTTCAAAATCCACTCCTATGGTAGCCTTGTAGTCTCTGTCAAACACATCATGACAGAACCTGAAACAATCAAAATACTTTTACCAATACATAAACATCACAGAGAGATCTTCATCACTTCTTAATAAGCTGAATCCTTTATATCTCAGAAATATGTTATATTGACAGGTGAATTAATCATATAACATTGAATAAGAAATCTTCCTACAGATGAGCACAAGAACCAAGGGGATCATACAAATGATTTTTTAATAACAATCCATTTAGTACCTCTCAAGTTATACCAACAACAAGCTATTTAATTTCTGTTAGGAGTATTTTATAAGCTATTTATTTGTTAAATTACAAGATGGCATATTGTCAGTTATTTTGTATATTCTTTCTTATCTGACTGGAAACTAAATGGGCACCACTCAATACAAAGGGAAAGCTACATTTGAAATTTGAGAATGATCCATCCATTACCTTTCAAAATATATTGATAACAAACATTTACTGTCAAAATCCAAGATGGACGCATTTTGGCCATTTTCATTTTTTTTATCAGTCTAGAAAATTAAATGGCACCCCGAACAACCCAGGGGAAGGGTCACCACTAAGGACCAAGGGGAAGTATCTGATGAAACTGGAAGAAGATCCATCCTGTATTTTTTTATGTTGTCTTAAGATACTTAACACTAATGGTTTGTGTAGTCAAGAGTTTCCATACAAACCTATTGACCAGACTTGTCTTTCCCACAGACACATCACCAACAAGAACAGCTTTACAAATCTTCAATCTGAAAATAAAATCTTTATACACAACAAAACAGTAACTTAATCATGTCACTAACAAGGAAATCTGTCAGTAGTTAATAGAAAACCTGTCACATATTCCCTTAAAAATCCCTAAGAAGATACCACAGAACAAGAATTCCATGGAGCTTGATGTGTTGCCTGCCCAGCAAGATTTCTGGAGATGAGTTTTAAGGAACAATAGCCATGGATTTTCATTGTATTTAATCAGTTTCTGTGACATACAGTTAAGACTTTAGAAATAGCATAAATTCTATTTAAAATGGATAAAATTGATATTCCCTAAGACACCTCCAAATATTGACCACAGGCTTTGATTTTTATTTCCTCAAGGAGGCATTTATGAAAACAAAATTCTAATCCAGTGAAGTTTTATCAATCACAAAGTGACATACTCCCAGTTTGATAGGAAAGAGAACTTTACATTCTAAAATTAACACATGACCAGAATGACATGAATCTAAGTTATGAAACAAGATAAAGAAAATATAAAATGGTTTGACTAATGTTTTGGTAATTACAGGTTTCACACAATTTCAGACAAATGACCCATTATCTTTGTTTGATCTCTGGTTTGTCTTGAACACAATCAACACTAGTTCATACAAGCATACCCGACTCTTCCTGTTCTATTTTCTGCACAAGCATTCTTCACTTTTGGATGAAAGTTCATCTTTTGGTATGGAGTGGCATCAGGATGGAAAGCCTGTTATGAGAAAACGTAATTCTTGAATGAGGAATACATATTTTGTTTGTGTCATAGAACAATACCAACAAGTAACATTTTATTTCTCTGTCAAATGATATTTGATATGATACCAGGATAAAAAGGAAGGTTTACACATGCATATATCAGTTTTTTCCTCGCTTGAAACCAATGACTGCTTTCCTAGCTTAAATTACATTATCAAAATTGGGGTGAAAATGTGACGCTTGGTAAATATTTACAGATGAAACAATCTTTACTAAACCATGTAACAGGTGACTTACTATTTCTGGTTTATATTATACATTAGATATGTTACTTATTTAGATATAATCCTATTGGTAGCCATGGTTTTTGCTATTCTCTCGGAGGAGATTAGAGATTACCTTATGTTTGCTGACCGTGTTTGATACATTTCATGGGGTAGATTTGTGATGACCCAATCATTGGCCACTGTGTTTGATACATTACCTGAGACAGATTTGTGATGATACAACTCTTGACCACTGTCTTGGATTGTTACTTGAAAGAACTTTGCGGAGACCCAATCTCTAATTTTTGAGGAGATCTGATCTATGGCCATTGTGTTTGAGATATTACCCGAGGGAATTTTAAGATTACCCAATCTTTGGCTACTGTGTCTGAGGTATCCACAGTTTTTTTTTTTAATTTTTGAGGAGATCTGATCTATGGCCATTGTGTTTGAGATATTACCCGAGGGAATTTTAAGATTACCCATCCTTTGGCTACTGTGTCTGAGGTATCCACAGTTTATTTTTATTTTTGAGGAGATCTGATCTATGGCCATTGTGTTTGAGATATTACCTGAGGGAATTTTAAGATTACCCAATCTTTGGCTACTGTGTCTGAGGTATCCACAGTTTTTTTTTTAATTTTTGAGGAGATCTGATCTATGGCCATTATGTTTGAGATATTACCTGAGGGAATTTTAAGATTACCCAATCTTTGGCTACTGTGTCTGAGGTATCCACAGGTTTTTTTGTATTTTTGAGGAGATCTGATCTATGGCCATTGTGTTTGAGATATTACCTGAGGGAATTTTAAGATTACCCAATCTTTGGCTACTGTGTCTGAGGTATCCACAGTTTTTTTTTTAATTTTTGAGGAGATCTGATCTATGGCCATTATGTTTGAGATATTACCTGAGGGAATTTTAAGATTACCCATCCTTTGGCTACTGTGTCTGAGGTATCCACAGTTTTTTTTTTTAATTTTTGAGGAGATCTGATCTATGGCCATTATGTTTGAGATATTACCTGAGGGAATTTTAAGATTACCCAATCTTTGGCTACTGTGTCTGAGGTATCCACATTTTATTTTAATTTTTGAGGAGATCTGATCTATGGCCATTATGTTTGAGATATTACCTGAGGGAATTTTAAGATTACCCAATCTTTGGCTACTGTGTCTGAGGTATCCACAGTTTTTTTTTTTAATTTTTGAGGAGATCTGATCTATGGCCATTATGTTTGAGATATTACCTGAGGGAATTTTAAGATTACCCATCCTTTGGCTACTGTGTCTGAGGTATCCACAGTTTTTTTTTTAATTTTTGAGGAGATCTGATCTATGGCCATTGTGTTTGAGATATTACCTGAGGGAATTTTAAGATTACCCATCCTTTGGCTACTGTGTCTGAGGTATCCACAGTTTTATTTTTGAGGAGATCTGATCTATGGCCATTGTGTTTGAGATATTACCTGAGGGAATTTGGAGATGACCCGATCTTTGGCTACTGTGTTTGAGATGATAGTTCTTCCAGCAGACATGATGACAGGAGTTGATCACAACTTGATGGCTAATTTAAAAGTCAACAGGTAGAGTGTAAACTCTTCAGATATTACATCAATCTACAATTAAAAATAAAACAAAGTTCAGCTGTTATCTGCATTATATTGATAATAAGTATCAGACATATCAAATTGTAAAAAAAAAATGAAAAAATTACCAAAAAATAATCTAAAAAACTAATATATCTACCAAGTAATCGATTGTTTATTTGGATAAAGCAATTTTGTTGATTTATTACAATTGTGAACTATATGTATCAGAAACGAACGTTTCAATGGCCTAAATTATCTTTTGTTTAATGATAGCTCAAGTTTCAGTACATCCTCTCGAATCCAAAGATGTTCCGGAACCGTTTACGTTTTAAAACCCCTACTCGTACTTCACCTTTTCTAAATTTTTCGTTTCGTAATAACGATCGATTTGGATGGTTACGGAATTATCAAAATAGAAAGCTGGTGGTTTTTTCATATCAATGGAATTTCATCTATAACTCTGCTTTCTTTTACTTTTAGTTCTATTTGATTTCGGCTCATATTATGATTTGGAATTTAACGACCTGGTGAACTACTTACGTCGTGGATAAAAATAACTGGTGATTCTGTAGATAAGAGTATCTATTTCATTTCTTTCATCCCGGTCCTTAATTCTAAAACGTAACTCAAAACTGTCAATATCAAGGGTGTTGATTCCCACATTGGTGAGATTTACAACGGAAGTGAAACTATGCACGCATCATCTGCGTCAGTTGACGCTTACTGCGTCTTTCCCTCGCCTGTTTCTGTAAAGCGTCTATTGGAATCAATGAAAATTACGGAAGCGGAAACCAATTTCATGCACAGGCGTACAGGGCAAATTAGAACTTTGCAAACCACGTGGAAACCCCAAATCCGTCCTTTTTCAACATGGCTCCCAAAAAGAAGGCAACAGTAGAAAGTATGCGTCTTATACGACATCAAAAAACGGCATTGGCTGTAATAAAACATCTTTTTTATGATCTTTGTGTTGATGGCATACGAAGGCGAATTGTTAAATGTATTTATATACTGTATATATTATGAAATTATAGATAAATTTATATTTTGAGACGGAATGTGTTGTTTATATGACATCAGTTAATCCAATGACGAGTTTCTGATTATTTTATCTGTGTTCATGTGAACCCACTAACGATAGATTTCTCTCTTGAAACTCTGAAGCACTCCGACAGGTTAAGTTATTTTGTTGCCAATTTATTTTAACAACAGGGATCCGACAAGATTATTCCTGTTAAAATAGTATTAGTAATAGTATTTGAGCAGTGTATATTGCTAGATTCAACGTGTAATTCTGTGGGTTGAGCTCTTCGATCATTAAAAAACCCAATAAACTTGAGGACAATACTCGTGTTAGAAATGTCCTCTCTTGAATGTAATTATATCAGTATTCAGGTTTACAAAGTTTCAAAACTACATTATTGAGCAGTTTTCCAAATGTTCAGTATGCACTGTAGATGGTTTGCCAAATGCAAGAAAGACCAGAATTTTTTTGGCTTCCAAATGTTGTTCAAAAGTAACCAACATATCTTCAATCAATCAATGATGATATTCCATTTTTATATTACTCTGTGAATTTGTATTGTATAAAAATGTAATCAAAATGTTGATGTGCATTCTATCATTTTTACCTTAATTTTTTTTCTCTCTGTCTTTTTTATCAGAGGGTGGCAAGAAAGATGCTGCCAAAGTGAAGGAGTCCACAGCTCCAGCCAAGGCCAAGCAAAAGGCTCAGAAGGCAAAGAAGTCCCAGCTTAGAGGTGTGCATGACAAGCGCAATCGCAAGGTCCGCACGTCGGTACACTTCAGGAGACCAAAGACCCTCAAGCTGCCTAGGGAGCCTAAATACCCCAGGAAAAGTGTGCCGAAGACTGCAACGTAAGCAATCACCATTTTAAAACAATTTTGAAATGATGGAATTTACTAGAAGAAATATTCAAATGTACAGGTTTCCGTAATGGGGATTATTGTCAATTTTACAAGGTTAAATGTGTGTGATGCAGAAAAAAAGAACATTGGTTGAGTGGTTTGCTGTACATTTGCAATGTAGGAGTAAATTTATTCCACATGTTCACATGCTTATACTAAAACAAAGACCTTCCATCACATAAAGATGGGGATCCTCCTTCCAACCTAATCCATGAATATGTTTCGGTGAACCCTTAGAGGATTCCTAAGAAAATGCATTATTATCTAAATGCAGAGGCAGTAGAAATGTGATCATATTGGCTGATTACTATTGATGCTTTATTTTTCATAATGCACTTGAAAATTTTTTAGAGAAAGATCCTAAAGTGAAAAATATTATTTACTTCATAATGCAATGGAACAAATTGTGTCCCAATGCAATCTACCATTTTAAATTTCGGATGTCACCCAGTCAATCTCCAGCCAACTAATGTCTACTGATGCATTTTTCATGAGTTTAATCAGTTTTAAAGTCACTGTGGTGAGAAATCTAACTAACCTTAATACTGTTTAAAGTGTAAGTCTTCAGTAACTTGAAATGGGCAGTGTAGGTTACATTGATATTTTTTCTAAATATAAAATCGGTACTTTTTTTTTTTTTTTTTTCAGGTTAGACAAATACAGAATTGTCAAGTACCCATTGACAACTGAGTCTGCAATGAAGAAGATTGAGGATAACAACACCTTAGTCTTTGTTGTGGACAAAAGGGCCAACAAACCCCAGGTCAAACTGGCTGTGAAGAAACTTTATGATATTGATGTTGCAAAAGTCAACACTTTGATCAGGTAAAATCAGTTAACATGTTTTATGATCTATGCTGAAAATCCACATTTTTTGTACAAATTTCTGTGGGTTTTTTTTTAATTTATTGTGTTTTCTGTAAACTAGAGATCTCCCTCATGTAAGTAAGTAAATTCATGACAGCAATAAACAGTGTTTGCTTTTGAAGTGATGCAGGCAGACAACCACCTGAGACATTAGGAGGTAGTGAGATAATTACACCCCCTTTTGTACATAATAAAGTCAGTACCAAGGTGTTTGGATGGATGGTGTTGACATGCCCAGGACTGACAACTTTTAAAAATGTTGGCATCAGAGAACACCCCAGCAATTTTGGGACTGTGAAATATCAGTTTATTTTGATGATTTCGCAAATGCAATTTTTAAATCACCATTGATGACTGTTAGTGCAAACCCTGTTTTGAGCATATGAAAATAGGTATGAAGTGTGTAGATTAGCCTTATTAGGTAAACAGAAGCTCACTATCACCAAATAACACTCTGGCACGACACATCATGTGACCTTATTCCACATCTAAATATGCATTTTTCACCTGACTAGAGAAAAGTGAAACAAGCTCCTGAGGTTGTTTGCCAAGAGACACAAATCTGTTGTAAGAGTAGTGCATTATCTTTTATCAAATCAACACACATTGACTGGAGAAGAAGAAAACTTCTGTTAGTGGTGGAGATCTGTAAAATGTAAAGAGCTGTTGACAGCATTGATAATCAAAAGATCAGTTATTGGCTATGGTTAATCATTGCCTTTCAATTATAGATATCATTATAGTATATTTACCTGTAAGTAGCCCACAGAAAGTGTGAAACACGCATTCTAAAGCCATATATTTAAATCTCGGTGATCAATGAGAATGAGATTAATAGAATCTTCCTGTACCTTGAGGGTGTGGATGATTATTTTTCTATCATACTTTTTCTCAGAGAGCCTTAGCTTCGGTGATAATCAGCTTTTAAACAAACAGGTAAAAACACTGTGTCTATGTAGAAGACGACGTGTGTAGAAGTAGTTCTGGTTCACTTAGGTGCACGCGCTGTCATACCCTAGGGGTTGACAGAGAAATCTTGAACAAGTAAAACAGGTGACAAGCCTGTGAATGATGGGAGAAAAATTGTTTCTTTGAGATATTTTGTGGTTTTGTGTTGATGTATATAAATGATTATTTTGTAGGCCTGATGGTGAGAAGAAGGCATATGTACGACTAGCTCCCGACTATGATGCTTTGGATGTTGCCAACAAAGTAAGTGGTATAGTATACTTCAGTATCTATTTCTACCTGTATTAATAGACATTAAGGCCTTAATGTTTATTGATACAGGTACATATAGTCACTTTGTAAACAGAGGTTTTAACCACCCATTCTATCCCTAGTAGCCTGAAACCATGACAACAAATTTCAAATTAATTTTTTCTTTCACCAAAAAGACTTGGACTCTTTACTGTGGTAATACATTATGTTTGTAGTAATGTCAGTAGTGCTCACAGATGTGGATTGATCTGTTATCTCTGTACAGAAGGGTCGCTTTAGACTTCACTGTGCAGTGCTTTCATTCTGGTGGCTATCTACTTTGATTTTAATTGATTTGTTTTCTCCTTTTCAGATCGGAATCATCTAAACTGGGAGACTGTATACATTTGTTATTTTATTGTAAGATAAATAAACTCACCAAGACAGTAAGAGTGTTTTGTATGTGTTATTGGATCTTGAAATGAAACATTTTGTTAAACAAATGCTTTCATTATTGAATTTTAGTTCGGGCAAAATTTTAACTAGAATTCATATTATTGGAGATTTTTAGGCCTGTTTCAAACGTTTGGCAGTAGCTGTTTTCAATAATTAAATGTTTCTCTCATGGGGTATGATTTAAACATTGCTGGTAATATTTAGTCCACCAGCATTATAGTGGACAATATAAATAACTTTTTATCAGAGGTAAGTCTATTTAAACAAATTTTTTTCACTATTAGGCATCAGAGGGATCATCTGAAATGTCGTCTGTAGGTTTCCCCTTGTCCAGAGTTGTGTATTATTCATTAAGAAGACAATATGTCCAACAGATGGTCATTTTAATATTGACTGTGAAAGTTGATTACAATATTTTGAGAATCTCTGACTGTATAATTCTTCAATTCCATGTTTGTTGCCTTTGGTCCCTAGTTGCGAGTTGGGCTTGATAAGAGATGTTGCTATGTAATAAATTTCCAGTAATTAGGAGAAAACAAAGCTATACAAATTATACATATCCTGTCATGGTTGCACTTTATGCAATAAAAGAAGTGTGTGATGTTTAGTTGAAATCACCATGAGTGAAACGACTAGGGCATTAACAAGGATCTAAGAAAAAGATATGGGCAATAACCATGACCCAACATATGCAAGTGGATGATGAAAATCCTTCCAGGAATGGAGCCATCAGAGAGCTGACGAGAAATTTTCATAAATGGTAAACTTGACCTCTGTTGAAAATGGACTGAGGCAAATAATGGACAAAGTCATGCCATGCTATGTCAGGTTAAATTTTTTTTTGACAAAAATTGTATCAATTGGGACAATTCCCAAAGAAGTGGACAGAAATTTTAAATGGCAACAACTGATCATTTCCACCTAAAGCATGTGAAATGTGGAAAATCACAACTCCAACATCACTCATTTCATTTACACTATTTTCAATGTAATGTATGCAGGATTATAGTAAAACTGTTCAGTGGAAAAGCCTAGCTCATTTATTTCCATCTCATACATAATTACATTGCTGCTAATACATTTCACACTTGTCATTTTTGTGATGGCGTCATTATTGTAAAAAAAATATACTAATTTCTTGCTGATTGTGATACAAGAACTTCTTTCCTATAATTATCTACTTTCCGACATGAAGAAAATATTGAACAATCATCCAGATGAGGTGAAGTGAAAATGACCTGGAGGAAAATCCTGTTTATGTTTTGAGGATAGATCAAACATAGAATGGTAGTTTTAAAGAAGGTTGATTGAAAACAGAATAAATCTAAGAACAAAATTAAAATGCTGGGGGAAAAAACCCAGAAAACAGAACCTTTAATTGTTGAATAAGAATGCTTTTGAAGAAACTGTTATTTTGAGAGAACTAGGGAAAGAAACTTTCAAAAACAATCAAAATTCTACTCAAGAGAGCACAAGCTGTGGTGATTAATCTACAGTGTTGGAAAGAGATTACTTGAAGCCTCTGAGGAAAATACAGGTGGAGGAACAATTTGTCATATACTTACAAAGTAAGTATACTTAAAATTTTTAGGTTTTGGCAGGCAAAGAAGTAGTTAATTGATCCATATTTCAAGTAAATGATACACTTGATCAGGGATCTTCAACCTAATTTAGCCAAAGGTTAATCTCCCTAAGGGTCTGAAGTGAATAATTTTATGCCCGTCGAAAGACGGACGTATTACGGTATGGCACTGTCCGTCCGTCCGGCGTCCGTCGTAAACTTTTATTTGTCCAGAGATCTCCTACATTTTTCAGTCGATCTTTATGAAAATTGGTAGGCTTAATCAACATGATATGAAATTGTGTTTTCCTGAATGGGGTTTTGATTAGACGATTTGAATAAGAGTTATTCCCCTTTGTTTATTTCACTAAAGAAATCTTGTCCGGAGATCTCCACCATTTTTCAGCCGTTCTTTATGAAACTTGGTAGGCTTTATCACCATGATATGACATTGTGTTTTCCTGAACCGAGTTTTGATTAGACGATTTGAATAAGAGTTATGCCCCTTTGTTTATTTCACTATAGAAATCTTGTCCGGAGATCTACATTTTTCAGTCGATCTTTATGAAAGTTTGGATGCTTAATCACCATGATATGAAATATAAAAATCTTGTCTGAATATTTCCTCTAACCGATGTATATGAACTTTTGTAGGTTTAATCTCTATAACATGATTTTATTCTTTGACCTTAGACTGTCATCAAAGTACACCAGGTGGAGGACTGTAATTCTTGAATTATCTTTGTTTTGGACATTCACGGGCGTATTTTGTTCCACTTTGCGTACTCTTGTTTTGATATGTCATAGGGCTCTAGGATTTTTTACCTTATCAATGTACTAGTATGTTCAATTTATTTCCGCACAATTACTCTGAATAGTTATCAGCTTTACACAAGCTCTGGTAGGAAGGTGTAACACTATGAAGTAAGAAAATGGAAGGTTGGAATATAATTTTCCAAACTTGCTTGTCTTAGATTGAAGAATCATTACACAAAATATTGTTAACTTCCAGTTGGAATTGAGTGGCAGCTGAAGGACAAATGATGGCGAGGTTTCCTAACCTTGGAACAGAGGTTGAGTATGACAACTGAGGGATAATGTTGTCCTGGTTTCATAACCTTTGGAACAGAGGTTGAGTATGACGTTGGACAAATGTTGGCAAGGTTTCGTATTCATAGTCACTACCATGACCCTTGACCCAAGATCATATTAAAACAATCACATTTTCTCATTCTTAATCTTTATTAACAAAATATTTTACAGTATAAATACCTTTCTGATAAATCCAACTGATACTTTCCACAGAACGATCATCACAAATAATCACATTGGCGTCAACTCTGTAATATCTACACATTAAAAAAAGCATATCATTGCTTATTTGAGTCATAAATTACTGTTCCCTACATAAAAAGGAGACAACATGGTGACAATCCCTCTAACACATCCAACTTATTAATTTGGCAGCAAGCTGATACTTGACCAACAGTCAATCTGCACATTTCACACATCAAGTCCTTAAGAGCCTTCTTTGTGTGAATATTTCTGTATCTCTATGGTTTTGTATACCGTCAGTCTTTCTTGTACTGCAAGAGATCAAACAAATCAAAATATGATTATAGACAAAATAGATTTTCTAATCAAGAATTTTATCAACATATGGTGTATGATAGAGATACTTCATACACCTCATACACATGATCACAACCACAGTTGCTCCTAAACCAGCAAATTATGTACCATTATAATTGTCACCATCTGGACATCACTTACAACAATCAGATATTAACTCCACTTACAGAACTGGTATTTCATATATAATTATCATTCTATCACGTGGTTATTTTTGTTTAGAGACTTTACCCATGTAATATTTCCCAATTTACCTCGTATAACAAAGACTATTTAGACAACAAGATTAGGTACACTAATGGCGACAGCTGATGTGGAGTAAAGAGGGAAACATACATTTTCTTTTGTTACAAAATAATTGATTGTATAACAAGTGCTTATTTAAAATAAAGTGTTTTATTTTTTAACTGACTAATAGCGAAGGATGTTTGTGTATTATACTAGACATAAATATCTATGGATATTTGTTTATTATCCTGGACATAAAAATCCCTGTGTACCAACCCTGACATAAAAATCCCTGTGTACAATCCCTGACATAAAAATCCCTGTGTACAATCCGACATAAAAATCTGTGTACCAACCCGGACATAAAAATCCCTGTGTACCAACCTGACATAAAAATCTGTGTACCAACCCTGACATAAAAATCCCTGTGTACCAACCCTGACATAAAAATCTGTGTACCAACCCTGACATAAAAATCCCTGTGTACCAACCCTGACATAAAAATCCCTGTGTACAATCCCTGACATAAAAATCCCTGTGTACCAACCCTGACATAAAAATCTGTGTACCAACCTTGACATAAAAATCCCTGTGTACCATCCCTGACATAAAAATCCCTGTGTATAATCCCTGTCAAAAAAATCCCTGTGTACCATCCCAGACATAAAAATCCCTGTGTACCATACCTGACACTATTATCTGAGTTTCAGAGAACAAATCTTCACATAAATTGTTTTAAATGTTTCAATACCTTCCCTTACTGAAAAATTATAAAATAAATAATGATCAGGTAATTCTGATAAATAAATCTGAGACTTAGTTATGTATGAATTTGCCAACAACACTGAAAAAAAACATTTGTCAAAAAATCATCAAATTTATTAAAGTCCTAAATTTTCCATTTTTCTGTTGCTTTTTTAATTGAAATTTATATTCTTGAAACTATCATTAGAATCAATTGAGTATACAGTACCTAGACAAGGATTTAACCAGATGTAACAGGGATGTATATAACAGTCTGTTATATACGTCCCTGGATGTAATAATGCATATGGAGACATAGATGCCTACCTTTTTTATCACCCACTCAGCATCCTCCATAGCTCTTGCCACTATTTGCTGAATCCTCTGGGGGTCAACCTCATCTGAGTGACTCTTGTATGCCTGTGTTGTACAGAATATCAACAATGTCTGGGTGAATGAATTACTTAAAACCACCTTGGCTTGATCTTTATTTGTTCTTTAAAAGTTTTCAGGCATAGCTAAGGACCAAGTGGATGACACATGGAATTTTGGTAAGAGCCATTAAGTAGTTCTCAAGAAATTGCACAAACTTCTTCAGTTAAAATCAAGGATGGCCTCCTTTCATAAATGTGAAATTCTTACATTGTCAGAATAACAGAAGACTACCTGGGACTGAATCCTGTTTAACTGGTGAACTAAAACAGCTCACTTTAAACTTGCTCTGCTAAAGAGACCTTCTATGTCACAGCCTCTATTTGTTGAGTGTAATACTAGAATTAGTAAGTGAGGTTCTGGGTATTGACCTCTTCTCAGTTACCATATGTAAATG